CTCCTTTGCGCAACGGTGCTCATGTAGGCTACGGCTCGATGGCTGAAAAGCGGCTGGTGTCAGGTAGAGGCAATAGATTAGAGGATGAAAATCAGAAAATTGACTGAGCTATATTCAATGATTGATAATTTTTCCAATTTGTAAATAGATTCTCAGATTTGCTCAATTGATGGTTGAAACCAAAAGGATGATACAACCTTTTTTTTTCTGTTGATGTACCACCTTGACGAGTTCACGTTGATCCTTTCGATTGATAAATATTTTATTCAGTGAGTATTGTCAAGATGGACCGGATAGTGTGTTAATCCGAGGAAGAAAGTTTAAAAAATATCCATGATGCTAAAACCATATATTAGAGTGTTTCGAAGCACAAAAGGCATTAATTTGCCTAAAAAGGAAAGTGTAGGATCTTTTAGTGGTATGCCAAATGCAGACATTGGCCTAAGTTGGAGCTTGATAGAGGAGAACTATAATTATGCCTGAATATTCCAAGCAACTCTGAACTTTATTCATCTCAATGATTTTATCATAAATCATCAAAACCAACTAGGGTAATATGAAATGTACATTCAAGTTATTATTTAGAGTCAATTACTCCGCTAGTGTTAGAACTTGACGCAAACGGTAACTTTAGTGCTACAACTTGTGGAATACATCGAAGTGGTGTAAAAACTTGGCTTGGACGTGCAAATATAGTGCTAATCGCGTTTGTATATGTCCACGACGCTGACGAGGCATGCTAGTGTGGCGTGAGCCCATTTGTCAGTGACCCAACAATGAAGACAAGGCGTGCGGCATGCTTTTTTGCATGGAAACCTTTTATTTTTTTCATATAGAAAAGCTGCTGACAAGCGGGTCCCAGCTATCTGCAGCACAAATTTTAATTGAATGAAATTAAAGGTATGCTCAGGTTTCCAATCAGAGCAACCTCAAGTTCCCTGCTCGTGAAGTTAGCCACCCAACCCATTCACCGTTCATGTACATTAAGGAAACACAGGCTATATTTTTGCCAAAAAAAGGAAACACAAGCTATATATCCTCAGTTGAATAAGAAAAAAGAAGAAAATATAGTAAACAAGATGCAGCCGCAGAGACTCGAACCCTGAGCGTACCGTTAGCTTTTTTAAAATTTTCAAAATTTTGGTTTTTTCCAAAATTTTATTAAAAAATAGAATTATATTTTTAAATAATATACATATAAATAAAATAAATAACGTTAAGTAAATGCTCATGTAGTTTGATAAAATGTTCACCTATTATATAAAAGTGTCCAGTCTTTAAAAGAATTGATTTGTTTTAAAAGTGCTCATGCGATTTTAACAAAGGTTTTTTATGAGATGTTTTCTAATAAAGTTTGTGTGTTTTCAAAAAAAGAATTTATATAACTAAAAATATAAATATATGTACGGAGACTATTGTTCCTCAAATGAATACATAATTAAAATTATATATTTATATGTATGTTATTTATAGTTATAATTAATTTTTATTACAAACTGCAAAAAATAAAAATAAAATAGTAACATATTAAAGTAGGCCACACTAACTGACAAACTGTTGTCAGTTTTGGCCCATGAGCACGTTCTGTTATAGACGTACATTGTAGCATTGTCTAAAAAAGCGTAAAGAGTAAGAAACCTTTGCAAATTTGTGTTGTTTAATTAAAGAATATTCATCTAAAAATATTAAAGAATATAAGGTGTATCCTCTTCAGACAACGAGCATGGTTTTTGTTAGGTGGTTCGCAGCGGACACGTTAATTGGAGGTCACTGGTTTGAAACCTAAGCGCACCTTTTTTCTGTTCAATTATTATTTTTGCTGCTGACAGCTAGGACCCGCCTCTCAGGGTCTTTTTGGTGAAAAAAATATAAAAGACAAGGGGG